AAAAAAAAAAAAAAAAAAAAAAAAAAGATCTGTGGTGACTGAAGTGTTGGGAACAAGGTCCAGAGCCGGAGGATCTGGGCTCCTGAAGGGTCCAGAACAAGGGCTTTGAGCCTCTGTCCTGGGCATTGAGCCGTAGGGGCCTTGGGCAGGGGCTAGGGAGGGGCTCCCCGTTGTAGAGGCTTTGCCAGCGAACTCCTGACCCACTTCTGAGATTTCATCCTCACCAAAGTGGCCCTTTACTGAATGCCCCCTGGGCAAGGGCCGGGCCTCAGCACTGTGGCCAGCTCTCTGGGGAGACAGATAGGAGCCCACTGGGGAGGTGAAGTCTGGAGATAAGCCCGCCCCAGCCCTGTGGAAACGGCCTCAGTGTTGGGAGCCAGCCAGGCTTGACTGGGTTTCAGGCACAGCACGAGGTTCCCACATTGAGCTAATTTGACAGCCAAGTGGGTGAAAGACCTTTGGTCTCTCCCTGCTGAGTAGCGTGGTTCATGGTTTTGTTCTTCTGGTGCTCAAGACTGAGAATCGCTTGTCCTCAGCAGAAAGCTTAGCAGGGGGCTTACTGGCCAGAGCTGCAGCCTGGGAAGCAGGTGGAGTCTGCGAAGCTGGGTGCGCAGGTGTGCAGGTTGTGTGTGTGTGTGTGTGTGTGTGCATGCATGTGTGTGCGTGTGTGCTCGAGCACATGTGTGGGGGATGGGACGTGGGTCCCCATCCTCAGAGCGTCTCTGTGCTTTTAACAAACGCCACCTTTGCTGGGGACTGACTCTTGAAGACCCAAAGGTCTGGGCCACACAGCCGTGTCCTGTGTGGGGTGGACACTGATGTGTGCTCTGTGTATTCGTGACCGTGTTTGCCTCTCCTGAACCTTGCTTCAGGGGCCTCTGGGGCTTGGGTAGGGCAAGTGCCCGAGGTTGGCTGTCCACGGCACCTGTTGGCTTGTCAGATACTGGGGGCCTGGGTGTGCCAGCTGGGTCCCAAGGGCGGAGGGCTTCACCCCTGAGCCTCTGGTGGGAGACGGGGGAGGTGCCCGCAGACGCCTCCCAGAGCTGTTTTCTCTGGCTTCTGTCAGAGTGCTGCAGTGGGTGGGGAGGAGGGCGGATGGGGGCGGGTGGCCAGCCTTAATCTGTGGGGCTGCCTGTGTACCACACGGCCTGCCTGGCCCTGAGCCCCAGCCTGGCTGCCGAGTGGGCAAGGAGGCGGTGGCTGTTTTTAGATGAAGGTGACTTTACTTGAGAACATGGGTTATGGATCATGTGGCCAGAATCGAATGCTAACCTTTCTGAGGCCTGTGGCTGAGGGTCAGGCACTGCCGCTCTGCCTAGTGCTCCTGAGTGGAGGCGCCTGGCACGGGTGGGTTGCCCAGTGGGGTGGGGGGCTCTCCAGTGTCCCCAGGAGCCTCCCTGGAGGCTTTCTCTTCCTGCGGCCCACACAAGTGGCACTTCAGTACACAGGCACTGGCACCATCAGCTTGGGGAGGGTCCATGGGCGGTTGTTCCGTCCAGAGCCTTTTGGTCTCTTTGGGAGTGACGCCGTCCACCTGCCGAGAAGGTGGCGGACCCATGTCCCTGGGGCCTTGGGGCCCATGACATGTGCGCTGCTACGCAGCCTCGAAGCCATGAGCATGTGTGTGCACCTGTGTGCTGTGTGTCTGCGGACGTGTGTCCCTGCATGCATGTGTTGTAGCGGTGCCCGGGAAGAACACGGTCACTGGGGCAGATGGCCCCTCAGAGCCTTGGACTCTGAGGCACAGCCTGGCTCGGGACGCCTGGGCATTCCCAAGGCTGGAGGCTGGATCACGGGGGCCTCTTCAGGGCCTGGGGGGAAGGTGGGTGGGGGCAGGTTGGCTGCAGGCCACCGGGTCCTCCTCTCTGCCACAGCCCTGCCCTGCCTGAAGGTGGGGTGTGTTGACTCGGGACCCAGCCCTGCCTTAGCACCCCAGGTGAGGACAGTGAGGAGGATGTGGAGGGCAGCTTCGCAGGGCTGGA